TTACTAGATAAATAGATAACAGACATTCAAGCATATTCTTCAATAATATTTATGCGAAGAAAAATAGTAATTGAAGTTCTTTTTCACACTTCAAGTTTTTGCTTCTTTATTCTTTATCAGGTGCGATGTATATCAAGTTGATTGGATTTTGTTACGTTTCTATTTTAAGATTATGAGATTAGTAGCGAAAGAATTTGCTCATTTTCTATATAGCAGTTCTTTTAACTGAAAGTACTTTTTGGAACTCTCGTTGAACACTTTCGTGAATTGCGAAAGATCCGAATAGAGGCCGAGGAATGCGATTTGGGTCATGACCTACATTATGTACTCCTTCTCTAGCTATCTCGTCCTTCCCCCTCTCTCTCTCTTTCTCACTCTCTCTTTATCCGTATCTCGATCTACGTATCTGTCTCCGTTTGACTCTTCATTTATAATGCCTGTTCATGTTAACCCGGCGCCATATGTTGTAGTGATCGCGCACGAATATCTTACGTACGTTCCGTGCTCAACGACCGCCACACATATCAGAATGTAAATGATCATTAATTCGATTTACGACGTTTATCTGTAGTCGTTATCAACTCGTAGCTGAATTAAGTATCATCTCGTAATATCTTCTCGTGTTATGAAAATTCATAAAGTGATATGACTTTGGAAACTTGAAGACCGTGCTATCAGAGCGATTCGAATGAAATATTTATAATTTATAAGGTACCTGAGCTGAATAAGGCTGTATTTATGAGAATAATTGAAAACTAATAAAATCTTTATCTTTCTATCAGTAACAAAAATAAAATATGTCTTTCGCATAGAATAATTATAAAGAACAAATAATTTTTTTAACTCTGTTATTGGGCCTTATATATTCATACATATTAAGGCACGAAAAATAATTTGGAAATAATAAAGAAACGTTGACATTGTTACAAAGTTTTTGTCGCATTGAACAGACGCGTTGTTGCCAGTTTTAATTCCTTTTGCCTCTCTTCACCGGTCCCCATAACAGGTCTTTTAAGTAAAAGGCCTGGTCGTTTTAGCTGAACTTCTTGCACAGTTCATCTTTTCTCTTTTTCTCTTCAATGTGAAAAGAAAAAGAGGAAAAACGAACCATACAAGAAGTTCAGCTAAAACGAACAGGCCTACTCAAAGCTTAAAGCGCGTTTTTAACCGGTAAATTCGAAAACTTTATTTAATGCTGGGCTTTATTCGGCTCAGGTACAATGAAGTTACAATGTCATCATTCTAGAAATGCGATATATGGATTTATTTCCTTTTACGTTTTGAAGTAAGACAATGTTGCACTTTTTCTCTTTAAATCTTAATTTTATTCAACGGTTGATGGATAGTTGTGAAATTGACAACAAAGATGTGAAACAGATGGACAGGACTTACGCAAATGGACAGGAAAGAATAATAAAATTTTAGAAAATCTTTTTCTCTCCAGGCATAAATCTTTAATGATTTATGACACTTTCAAAATGTATGTACCACTCCGCTTGTTACACGCATCGAGTTTATCCAGAAATTGTTTTATTGCGAGAGGAATATTGCGAATCCCGAATGTTGCCGGGATACGTCGCAAATTATGCTTTTCACTGTACAGTCAACGGACGTTTGTCATCTTCGCGGAAAATCAATGTCGGAGCGCATCAGAAATGAGTTTGCCGTGCGAGGAGTAAGTACCTGGAGCGCGCGAACGTTATCGTGCCGTTCTTGCGTGAGCGAGAGATACGCTGCCGCGATACAGTATACCGGCGACGGGGCACTGATATTTTATTCCGTTCTCTCGTACATCGCCGCGTCTCCACGACATCGTACGTCGTCGTCGGAAACGGGCGCTGTGAAAATATCAAAATTGCTCACTTCCCTTCCTGCCCCCGTCGCTCGATGCGCACGACGGTCGTTTTAAAATTATAAAGCGCCGTAAGTCTTTGCACGGGTGGATGTTGACTCGGTTAACATTGCGTCACATCGTGGGGTAAAAATGACGCGATCAGCGATGACGTACACCTCGGTGACGATAACTCATTGATTCTACGACTAACGATGCGTTTTAACTCGGCGATATCGTTAGTCATTTTTTATAACATTACTATATCGCGTATGATATAGCGGTCGACGGTGATTGTTCACGATTGACCGAAGGGTAAAATTAGGACAACAAATTCGATCTTCTTCCCTTTGACAAACTAACATTTGAATATTAAAGATATCTGTATATAATGAATATTTAAATTGTTCGAAAACTTAATTGAGATGAAATAAACATGGTGTATGATTCCGTAATCGTTTATATAGATTGTTATTGATACATTGATTATACCCGTTATTCAGAGATCTTTCTTCTCTTTTTTCTTTCTCCTCTTACTTTCTCTAAAAATGCTGAATGTGCGTCATCAGTCTTTTTACAGTCTTACTTATGTGTTTCTTATGAATATCTATTAAATATCTAAAAATATTGAAATACCCCAGGCTCGTTTTATGCAAAGCAATATGAGGAGATAATATGCCAACGATATGAGCTAAATTTAAAATATTATACATTAATAATAGAACTATTCTTGTAAACTTTATTTTAATACTGAAGAAGACTAAGTGAAGTCGAAACGTTTACTTGGTGTCTATTCTATTTATGCTGAATAAATTCTATTATTGATATTTTAATATATCTTGAATTTAGCTCGTATCGTTGGTCCATTATTCCTTCATATTGCTTTACAAGAACCTTGTTACACGTAAGATCGCGCGACAAGTTGAAGATTATCGAAATTAATCTTTCACTTTCGCACGGCACGATCTCGCTCGATCATTTTAGTGTCGTTCTCTCGTTACAAGCAAGGTCGCGTGCAGATTTGGCGTTAACGAGTAAACACCGATAACCTAGCAATACGCCAGAAACTTTCTCGCGAGTCTCGCGACCGTCGGAGGTAGGTAGGTAGGTAGGTAGAGAAGAACGGATGAGGAGAAGGGCAGATTCGTGTATACACGCGAGCGGGGATAGACGTAGAACGTAGGGGGGTGGGGCTGGGGGAGGTCGAGCGCTACGTTGTGTGGGGATGCGTGGGTCGCGAGGGGCAGAGAGGGGTGGAAGCTGCGCAGGGAGGGAGACGGCAAAGGGACGGCTGGGTGGGGGAGGATGTGCTTGCTATCGGCATTCGGTCGCAATCAGCAGCTCGGCGGCGCGGCTCTCAGTTTGTGTCGGATCTCCGTCGCGGTCGTTTCGTAACACACGGTTCCCTGTACCACGCTGCGCTCCGTTTTTATTCTCTTCTCTCTTTCTCTCTCTCTTTCTCCTCCTCTCCACCCTTCTCTCTCCGTTTCTCCCCCTGGCCCCACCCTCCCTCACCCTTCGTAGTCCGTTCGCCACTACTAGCCCATCCCTCCGTGTCCCTCCGTCGCGTCGTTTAACGACATCGGAGTTTCCGCCCCCCCCAGCGGGAAGCGACCACGATTTTCCACGAACGAGGCGCGTCCTCGATTCTCCGGTCTCGTCCGTGCTCCGTTTTTATGTGTGTTAAGTGCCCTTGGGCGATAGAAAAGTACGAGTGAAAACGCGGAAGAATCTCAGAGGTGCTTATCATCGTCTTTTTCTTATATCGTCGCGTGCGCGCGCGCGTATATGTGTGTGTGTGTGAGACGAAACGTGCGTGATACGTACCGTCGTTTCATCGCCACGCGGACGTCGCGGATCGCGAGGATGAGATCCGAGCTGTGAGATCCGCGCGAGGATTTACGAGGGCGCAAGAGGGAAGGCGACTGTGCTGGCATTTCTTCATGTTTGTCCGAGCGTGATAGACACATTATACGAGACACGCGTAACCCGAATTAATTACAGACGCGTGCCAAATGACCCGGAGGGCTCGCGCCGAATCGCGCGTCCCGCTGGTCGTCGACGAATCTATACGATTCACGCGAAAGCGGACGTCACGCGTTCCGCGCGGTAAGCGAGGTTGACTCGGGTTGACGGTGTGCGTTCTTACCAAGAAGATTGATTAGACCGGCCCGCCGTGACTCGGCTCGTTTCGACGAAAACGCGTGAAAAATGCGCGCGACTATATGTTCGCGGTTGTTGTTCTTTATTCGCGCATCGTTCATTGTGTTCGAGATTTTGCGCGACGGAAAACGTCGCGGATGTTATCTCGATGAATCATCGACGGCTTAAGATTTCGATCGTTGATCGAGAGTTCGACGCGCTCTCGCGCCAACGTTTATTTGAGCTAACTTGATGCCATCGCGACCGTATTTAAGGGCTGTCCGTGCCGTCAACGCATTCAAAGAACCCACATCCACCTGAGTAATCCACGCGCGTTTCCGTCGCGTCTGAAGTCTGAATCATCGACGATTCCCGGCAAGGTCATTCGCGCCGCTCCGAAACGAAAGTTCGATTCAATCTAAATTTATCGCATTCCATTCTCCAGGTATACATGGTGGGTAGTTCTCGAGTAAACAATAATTTAGCTTACGAACGATAGTTTACGTTAAATATTTTCCTTACGAAGCGCATTGCGTTCTCGCATTGACAATAAAGATAAATAAAGCAATAAAGATCCGAATCATAGATTTCGTAGATTCGACGACGGACCGGACCGGGACTTGACTGCCGGGATCGCGCATCCTTTTTTCGGTGACGAATGAATCGGGAGCGACGCACACTTGTTTTACGTAATGAAACCGCGTTCGCGTCAGGGGGAGAGAACGAGCGGAGCGCGCTCGAATCGCTCGCTCGCTCGCTCGCTTGCTCGCGCGCGCGTGCGCCGCGTGTAATCTATCCGTCGTCGAGCCCCGCGCGTCCGTCGCTCTTCGCGTTCGGTCGGCGCGGCGCGGCGTGGCGCGGGGTGGGGTGTCGGTCGGTCGTGGCGAGGGAAGTGGAGGGGAGCTCTTCGATCATCGGCATTACTGGCCTCCCTCGTGCGTCCTCGTGTCCCGTCGGAACGGCGCGGCGGCGATCGGCTCGCTTCGGGCGCCGTCGCCACTGTCGCCAGTCTCGCACTAGCTCGCGCGCGCTACGGATCTACGTTGCGTCTCTCGACCTCTCTCGGCCTTCTCTCTCTATCTCTCTCTCTCTTTCCGCGACTTTGACGGAATCCCGGCAGTGGTTAGCGCGGAGTAGACGGTAGATCCATCTACCCATCTAATTTATCCATTCAACGTCCACGACGTGTCTCTCGGTGTCTTTCCAGCGCGAGGAGTTCAACGTCGCGTGATCTCGCGGCTCGTCGTTGCTTTTCTCTCGCGTTTCTCCCGCGCGTCGTCGCCGTCGTCGTCGTCTCTCTCTCGGTGTCTCGGTGGTCTCCCGTCGAGTGGTGTGCGCGCTTCTTGGATACGCGGTCACGCATGCACGCATGGACAAGCAACGGCGACGCGGCACTGCCCAATGATGGCCGTGCCGGGCATTACCGTTGACGTAGTGATGTATTATTAGTGGTGCGCGTCGCGGGAAAGTGCTGGTGTGCCGCGGTCTCGCTGTCTCGCTGTCCCGCCGCTCACTTCAGCCCGTATATATATCTCTTTCTCTCTCGGCAGTTTGGAATCGGGAGTCGGGCGGTCGGCACCGATAATAGCCGCCGCGGAGTGTGCCCCTCGTCGTCCGCGTCGTCATCGGGAATCAGTGATCGTCGGCGAAGGGAAGGCACGGATACGTGCGGGCGGTTTACACGTATTTCGCCGCCCCCGCCTGCCGGCTCGCCCCTACGAGTTCGCGCGAGTGAAAGAGTTTCGTATATATCTACATATATATCAGTGCACGACAGTTTTTCGTTCGCTCTCTCTGGTGTGTGGATTTATCATATTTGGATACACTCGTATTATCGTATTGGATATATACTGCGATCCCCGTCGCCGCCGGAGCCCCACGTTCAGCCCCCGTCGGCCCCGAGATCGTGATTCCGGTGAGTGTGTGTGGCTGTGTTTTCTATCTCACGTTATCCATTATATCGTGTTCATTCTCGTGCCGCCTTTCGGCCGTGGGATCGATGCGCGATCCCGAGACGCGTGACGCGTGACGGCACGTCGTCGTCGCGCTTATCGCTCTCGATCGGCTGCCATCTTGTTATTTGTAGCCGCCGTCGTCGCGTACGCGCCTCGCGAGCGTGTTCGCGCGCGTCAGGACCGATTAAAAGTCTGGCGGAAAACGCGAGAGCGAGGTGCGTCTCTCCGTTTCGCCGTTCGCGATTATCGAGACTCGCGATCGCCGCGATCGTCGCGATCGCGTCTGCTCCGGGCGGATCGAGAGATAACTCCGTTTCTTATCTTTCCTCGATCGTTTTTTCTATCGCGGATCGATACCGTCGCCGAGAGGGGAGGAGGAGGGGGAAATCGAACGTGATAAGACGTTTCGGAGGCGGACGTGATTAACTGTCTCTGCTATCGGCTCGGCGAAGCGGACGTGGTGACGTCTCCGTTTGTTTACGGCGATTCCAAGGCGGGCCGGAGCGCGAGGCGCTTCAGTTTTTTTTTATCCGTGGCGACGGCGAACGAGATGGAAAATGGAAACTCGGTCGACGCGGCGGTCGTGTAAATACGACTGGTCGCGAAAGTGCCGGTGCGCCGCGGAGTACGAACGGAGCCGTCGCTCGTCGCCGCTCAGCGATGCTTTACGCGGAATTGTCTCGTTAACGCGAACAGCTTCGCGATAAAGTTGCGCGAGTACGCAACGTGGTTTTCGTTATCGTTTCGTCGATGATAATTTTACTTGAAAGCATAGTATTCTATAAATACGCTGTTTAACGAGGCTGCGAACTCGCGACGAAATAATTTTACTCGCGTCGTAATCGTGATTTCCGTTTCTTATCTACGTTATTAAATTTGTAGGGTCAAGTTATGCTCAATTTGAGTAATTTTTAATAATTCCTGTAAGTCGCCACTGCTCCTACTCAATTTGTCGTTAATTTAACTGAACCAACGACATTAAAATAATAAATTTTGACACATTTAATAGTTAAAAATAACAAAATGTTATTTAACTCAAGATATTGGTTCAAATTTCCTTTAATATTTAACACTGCTAGGCGCGTTTGATGAAACTCCGGATACTCGCATCTTAACTCCTCTTTTCGAATGGCGATACTGTTTCAAGATCGCACGCGGGTGAATTATCTTTTAAGAAAAGATGCGCCGAATTCCGTAGAGGTTTCGCGCTGTAAAACCGTCTTGTGAAAATACAGTCGGCGGCGAGCGACCGCGCTTGCGAGAAATATTTGCGCCTGTCCGAATTGTTTCATTTGAGAACGACTAGTGAAAAGTTAACGACCGGCATACGCGGAATTTATTTCTACTCTTGTTTCGGAGAACTTGCGTGACGTGCGTGGGAGTTTGGCTCGCGCGCAGCTGATTCGTCGGGGATTGACGTCGCAAGTCGATTTCCTCAACCCTTTGCCTTTCCGTGTCAAGCTGTGGACTTGATATGATACTTTGTAGTAGTTTTTCGCAGTTCTTTCTTCAGTTCTTCAAGCAGGTACTTGAATCGATGTATGATTTTAATCGGCAAACTATTTTAAATCTGTATAAACTATTTCTGAATAGAAATTTTTATTTATTTATTTAGACCCGCTGATTATATTACATTAAAGATGAGATACCTTTCGCTCATTTGCGAGAAATCGCTTACATTGGATTAATACGCTCGTGTGTCTTTAATGCATGAAACGGAGAAACGCCGGCGATCCATTTAGCGCGATTTGGAATTGGAATTGGAACATTATTATATCATTATCATAGAAATTAATACAAATCGGGTGATGTTTAGCTTTCAGATATATTAATTGTAAGTGCATAGTGTTTTTCAATTTAATCACGAAGAGATGCGTTTTCCATTGCGTGACGATTTGTGCCGTTTTCCGAAATTCGCGAACATACCTATATATTCGTATGTGACACAATTGAAGAAATTAGTTTATCGTGGGTCATCATTTATATATTCTTCTTTTCTAAAATTGTAGCTAACAGGAAGCAACAAATAAAACTTTAAAGCCCCCTAATTGAGAAAGGAATTAGTAGAGTCATAAATATGCGATACCGCTCCGAACGAAGGTACTGTAGGTAATCATAAATTTCGAGCGTGATCCGTGACTCTGGCGGATTCCCTGAATTATTCACGAATTCCCCCCGTATAAAAACCGGCAAATCGGCGACGGACGCAATCTGGCCAAGTCGGAGAGCCGCGTATTTCATCGCCGCGCCGCGCCGCGCCGCGCCAGGAAAAACGGAGCGCTCCGTGGAATCATATCGCATGTGTGTCTCGTGGAAATGGAAATATCTCAGACGCGTCCGAGGAGAAAGCGATTCTCGAAGCCGAGAGACTTCGATGTCGCTCGGTCACGGTATAGTTCGCGTTCTCCTCGCCGCGAACGATATTATTTCTGGCACGGCACCAGAGCCGACGGACGGCGGCGCCGATCGATCTCGTCCTCGAACGGGCGATCGCGAACGTCATCGTCATGTGTGCATCGCATGCGCTCGCGCGTGTTCGTGCGTGTGCGTGTGCGTGCGCGCGTGTGTGTGCGCGCGTCGCGATCGATCGCGAGCGAGCGCGCGTATTCACCGTCCTTTCGGCCGCGGCAGGGAGGAAGGGAGGTAAGCGCGAAACACGTTTACCGAGACCCCGGAAATAATTACCGCTAAGCAGACCCGAGTTGTCGGCAAATTGAATTGGCCTCGAGTGCCGGCACACACGCCGCTCGCTGTCCTTCTCTCTCTCTCTCTTGGCAACCGTCGCCGTCGACCGATCTCAAATATATCCGAGAGACGATCTCGCCCCGGAAATTCTCTGCCCGCGGCCCCCGCCAATGTTTGCAAACAAACTCGCGTGTCAGCGTCGCATTGCTCTCCGCGATTTTATCCCCATCCCGTTTTCCCGGCATCCGTCGGCTTATCGTCGTGATTTGCTTCATTTGTACAAGCCTTCTGTCGAATCGCAAAAAAGTAGCACGCGTGGTCGAGTATCGACAGCGAGATTGGACGATATATTACATGGTATAGTTTTTTATAAAAGAAAAATTATAACTTTCGCGGACCTTTTATACTTTGTCGTATGGTTGAGGAAGATTTATGTTTTTTTAAATTACGCAATAAATACGTGACTTTTTTCTCGCACTAATATTTTTTTACATTGCACTATTATTTATGCATAGAATGAGGGATGTTATTTTTTGTTGCAACAAATGATGATTGCAATTAAAATCATTAACGTGTGTATATGTGTAAAACAATTGGTTAGGCAAAGAGATACATGAATAATCACGCTCATTAAATCACTGTTACCGCTTTAGTAACAATCGCAAATGAGAGAAATACACCGCATAAGCGCATGTAATAGAGTAAATAAGTCACATACGGCATATGCGATAACAAGATGAATATTTAATTAGTGAAAAACAGTCTCTGAAAATGAAATAATAATGGGAGCACAGAGGAAACAATACTTGCGAACTTAACTAACTCCGGCGATATATTTTGCCGTCATTTGAGTCACGTTCGGTGACTGCGTAGCGTAACCCCGAGTGATTTGATTACTATCAAGTAATTTATGCAAAGCAGCTCGCTAAACGAAGCGGATAGCGAACTTTTCGACGGCAGAATTATTTCTCCGTTTCAAAGACCGTTTTATTGCTGGCCGGCTTTCCCGCCGCGCGTCGACGTCTTCCGGAACTTCGCCGAAACTTTTTCCCGGGTCTGTCAGAATTATTATTATTTCGAGAATTATCTTTATTATCTGGAAAAGAAAACGCTTTCGTCGCACGCACATTTCTCACGCTTGCCGAAGTTATATTAGCCAGTTGATAAAACGTTGAAGGAAGAAAAGGTTGCGTGCTGTGTACCGTTTGCTAGTTGGTTAATTATGTCTGTTAATATTAGTGCTGCCGCATTATATAACCATAAAATACGCATGGTGTTATATATCATTTTTCTATTGTCTAATTAGCTTTAATTAGTTTTAATTAGGTGCAATATTAAATCTTTCATAAAGGACACATTGATTTATTATGCTTTATTATATGTGTGAAAGAATCCGCTATATGATTACATTTATTATCATTTTTTAAGTGTCCTACCGCACCGTATCCACCGCGGTTATCAGTTATCACAAGACACGATACTTGAAGTTTCGTGCCGTTTCACGTGAAAGCGACCGCGCTCTCGTCCGGCACACGTGCGCGCGATTTCTCCTCACTATACTACTACTGCACGCACATTCTTTCACGATCCATCAGCGCGAGCGCGTCCATTGGCCGACATCCAGTTTTCGGTTGCGTTTTCAAATTCGAATCGCCAGCGTTAAGATTGGAAATGGAAGTAACTCCGTTAATGGCGAAACTAATTAACAAATAGAAATTTTTTTAGATATTGAAAGTGAAAAGTCACAAGATCACTAGATCTACGATATAATTTAACGAAACGTTCAAATTTTTTTTCTAAATGACATCACGTTTCGAAAGAAATAAGGTATTCGGAACATACAATATGTTGTGCCGGTCTAGCGACTTTCCGACCCACCGGTATATTTCCAATAAGTTTTATGGACCAACCCGCTACTGACCGCAATTTTTTGGTCTTGCTTGGTGAGCATACGGTACCGGGCCGAAATTTCTCCGGCTTGATGTTCCATCAGGACCGCATGTGCCGGTCCGTTAAGTGCGTTAATGAGATACGCGGAGATAAGCCGCGACCCAGTTAGACGGCGTGTGACTTTGAGCGAGGGGAAAGTCGTCAGCCGCTTAATTCGCGATCGATCGTAGACGAGGAACCGATTATCAGCAGCTACTGCATGTGAGGTTGGACAATTTGCGGTGTGCGATAACGTACAATTAGATGGTGAGGAATGTGGTGATTTAGAAGAGCGTTGATAAAATGCACGTGAATAACACGTTTTAATATTATATTATTTTTCTAT